AAGAATCCAGGTGCTCTCATGAAAGAAACTGGGTATACAAAACTTTCTATTGTGGAACTGGGTATTAAGAGAAGTGTCACTATCAAGACCGAGGCAAAGTGGGCAGTAAACACCTTGACCTTTCCCTTATCCTTTGTCACTATGTTTACTTCTGCAACCAACAAAGGATAGAGATTCTCCTTAGCCCTTCTTTTGTTGCTGATATATCTTTAGAAACATTTAAAATTTTCTTTTATGGCAGTAGCCAGATAAAGTTCCATCTGGGGTTTGGCTCTTCTAATTTTCTCTCTGCATAACTTCATGACATCCATGGAGTTCTCTGGCATAGTCTGCCCTTACCTCCAGGTCAAGAACTCTATTCTGCCTTTTTTTTTTTTTCCCCTCCCCTGGGTTCCCTCCAAAGTTCTCTGCTCAGCCAGGCTGGTTTTCTTCCCTGCTGGCTCTTCCAGCACATGGGGACAGCCTGCTCCTGTGCCTTGAAGATTTCTGTCCTAAAGAATGTCCAGCCTTCCTAGAAACCACTATCCTCCAGGACTGTCTCCCTAGCGACTCTCCCAACAGGTCTCCTAAACAGGCCCAAATCTGCCCTCTGGAAGTCAAAGGTGCTGATCCCCCTCCTTACTTCTGTGAGAATTATTAACTCTATCATTTCAGGACCACCGTGCCCAAAGCATCCTCCAATTTTCTCATCACACAACAGTCCTTATCTCTTGGCAAACCACAGTTCCATTGGGGCACCTTCCCTACTCGGTCCCCTCACCAGCTGCATTAGGAATTTATCTTCCACACACTCCAATAACCTCCTAGACTCCTTTCTCTCTGTGGTATTATATTCCCAGCAGACATCTGGTAAATGGAATCCTCACAAGAAAAAGGGGCAGCAATCTTGAGACTGTTTTATGGTTCTGTGTTCCATGACTCCCTAAAATCACATGAACAACTGTGTCAGTCAAAGTAGGAAAAGCAACTGGCACTGAAAAAGACCAGTGCAAATTATTTTGCTCAGTTTTGTTCCTAGGTTAGCAGTCATTTACAAAAATCAGATTTACCAGTTTTAAAATCTTGAAGGACATGTCTCAGATGAAACTGCATGCATTCCGTTAACTTGTTTCCAATGCAAAACAAATCAACAAATTTGTTTTGACAACTTTTCTTCCCTGATTCTTCTATATTCTGGGTAGCTTTATTAGTCAAATAATAGTGCACATTCTAAAAGAAAAACCAAATTCCATTAAAATGCAATTTAGAGAGATGAGAAAGAAATGTATCTATAAATAAAAATACAACTTCCACCACTTAAAAGAGAACATAATGGATAACTGAAAAAAAAATTGCAATAAATCAAGACATTAAAAAACATTAAAAAATTATTTGCAGAAAAATTCCAACAGAGAGGCTCAAACCTTCTGACACTGCACATAACTACAAGAAATTAAAGAAACAGAAAGCAGATGAGCTGGAAGCATGTCCTATGATGTTACCCTGAACTTATTACCCATTGTTAGTACCTTTATAGGGTCAGGAAGGCTAGGGATCTGAAAATCATACTAACTTGGTCAGCTAGACTCTGGAGCTTTTCCAGGTCAATGTCATACTTGACATCTGCATGCAACAAGGTGAGGTTAGCCATGATGCTCTTTGGCTAAACCTATTATGAAGACCTTCAAAAATGGAGATGACAAACTCTCTCAGGGAAGACCTGCTCCAGTTCTGCACTGCCCTGGAGAGACCTCCCTTCCAATAGATTCCCGTGTGTTAAGAGCACTGAGCTTCAGTCACATTAAACAAACAAGAAATTTTAAAGTTTTGATTATCTTCATTTGCAACCAGATGTGTTTTAATGGCTTTCATAAGTTTATAAATTCTTTTGTATTCTGTACCCAAATCAGTCACAATATGCCATTATTTAAATCACTAATAATATTTAGAAATATCACTTAAATCCATTTAGTTGAGACTATAATCCAACATATTATAAACCATCAGAGGTTCTACTTTTTGTCAACCATGCAGAAGAAAATAGTACACTTGTTAAAAACCAGCTCTTTGACACAAAACCTAATGTCTTGCCTCTCTGCATATTGATTTTCCTCTAGTACAAATCACTTGCCCATGCTCAGACTGTCTGCTTGGGTAATAGGGCAGAAGGGCAGGCATGAAATTACTTACAGTCTACCAAATTCCCTCTCCCTGCTGTTAAAACCTGGCCTACACTTCTGGGTGCCCAAACACTCTGTGACATTTACTTCAGGACACTGGAGATGCACCTGTGTTATTCTGAAGGCTGCCAGTGGTGACCTCAGTTACTTTAAGACACGAATGATATTCTTCACGGTTACCACATAAATTCTATTGGGTAGCAGAAGAAAATCTGGGGCGACAAGATGACATAAGGAATATATTTACTTAGAGAGACATAAAAAAATTGAATTTTCTATCACCATCTACACGTACATGTGTCATGTTTTGTCTGGGAAGTAAAATTAATTTTGGTTCTAGTAGCTGGTACAGTGCTGTGTTTTGGATTTAGGGTGAGAGTGATGTTGACAATATCTTAGCAAGCAGGGTTTACACTAAGTCAGGAAGTTTTCAGCTTCTCACATCAACCCACCTGCAAGTAGGCTGCGGGCTGCTGCTCAGGAACTGGCTGGGCATCAGTTGGCAGCAACTGTACTGTGCATCACTTGTTTTGTATATTCTAATTATTATTATTATTATTATGCATTCCTTTTCTGTTCTATTAAAAAGTCTTAATCTCAACCCACAAATTTTACTCCCCCCCCCCCCCCCCCCCCCAGTTCTCTCCCCCATCCCAGCAAGCACTTGAGTGGTGTTTAGCTGCCTGCTAAGTTAAACCAGAGCAACCAAATTAGGAGAAAAAACACAGTAAACAAATAAAGAGACACTAATTAGCTGATCGTACTCCAGACATACTCTTACAAATACACAATTTGCAGTAATAAACTATTCAGATGTTGTCTAGCTGAAGTCACGAATCAATGGTAATAATCTGTAATACCTTCTGCTTTGCTGCAAGTTGGTTCTTTACACAAAGTCCTTGGGTTAACTCCATGAACTGCTATATCACATTACAGCAGCCCTGAGGACACGGCAGGGCTGCTTATCTTGGCAGGCAAGATGCCAATGGGGTGCCCTTTTTACCTATGGGTGTGGTGTAAACACTGAGGCAGAACTGTTTTGGTCGAAGCAGACCTCTAAATGTAACAGCTGCCGAACATTTCTTGCTGGAAACTGCTATGGCTTTTCATACTCACAAACGTGTATACAGCATAACGTTTTAGACAGTTTCTGATTTTATAGTATCTAAGGATAGCCCCATCAGAACCAGAGATCTATCCTTTAAGGAAAGGTGCAACTTGCACTGTGACATGGTGTCAAAAAAAACAGATCTTCATGGTAAGCACACCATATAATTTCTATCCTTTACAATTTGCTGTGGACTTCACTTCCTCACTGTTCACCCCAAAGCACAAACCCATTGCTGAAAACACGCCGTGGCCCAGACACAAGCTTCATTCAGCTGTTCACCAACTGCGCATCTCAAGCCATCTCCATGATTACAGTCCTGTCTTTGTTGGCCAGAACAAGGGTAACCAGGGACACTCAGGACAGCAACCAGCAGGAGAAAGCAACAGAACGTGTTACAAACACACATTGCTGCATGGAGTCAGCAATAAATGTTCATTAGCACCAGCTCATTTTCAGCCCCACAGTCCTTCTTCTCAGGGCACTCCCTCACACCTGAGGTTTGTAGAATACTTGTGCCTTGCAGAGCAAAGAGCTCACCACAATTATGCAAGTTTAAAGGCTTCTGTTCCCAGTTCTTGCCTGAGAGATGATTCACAGCACAGGTAGCTCACATATCCCTCCCTTCCCGTGGTCCAGCTGAGTGGTAAAGTAAATGAACTACCATTGGGCAATGCAATTCTGTCAGTGTGGGTGAGCAGCACCCCCTGTGAACACAGCAGATAGCTAAAGGTGACCAGGCCTACACCTAACTTTTGCCAAAAAAAATGTGCATGCCTTTCACCCACAGCCAGAGAAGGCAGGCAGGCAGCCTGGTAACCTGTTTAGTCGGAAGAGTGAACTCCGATTCCTCATTGCACCCTGAGCGTGGACACAGCACATGGTGCCAAGTTTTGGCAATAGCCTGACCCCAGCTCTCATCTGCCAGGAAATGGGCAACACACAGAGCAGACAGGAGCTATATCAGGTTCACAAAATTACAAAATCACAAAATCATTAGGATTGGAATGGATTTCTGGAGATCATCTAGGCCAAGCCCCTGACAAGGGAGGGTCACCTTGAGCAGGTGACACAGGACCACATCCACGTGGGTTTTCAATGCCTCCAGAGAGACTCCACGACCTCCACGGGCAGACTGTTCCAGTGCTCCACCATCCTCATTGTTAATAAGTTCTTCATCATGTTGAAATGAAACTTCTTGTGCTTTAGCTTGTGGCCTTTGCTCCTCATCCTGTTGCCAGGCACCACCGAAGAGTCGGTCATTACCCCCATGACACCCACCCCCGAGACATTCGCACGTATTAATGAGCTCTCCTCTTAGTCTTCCCTTCTCCAGACTAAGCAGGCCCAGCTCCCAGTGTCTCCTCAGAAGAGAGATGCTCCAGACCCTTCCTCATCTTTGTGGCCCTCCACTGGACCCTCTCCAGCAGCTCCTTGTCCTTCTTGCATTGAGGAGTCCACTTCCAGCACAAGTACTTGGGACAACCTGTCCTGTCCCTTCTTCCTAACACCCATACGCTGGTGCTTTTGCGGCAGTGCAGAGGGTCCGGGGGCTGCCCATTCCCTGCGCTCCGAGCCGGGCCCGGCTCCGGTACCGGGCCCAGGCCCGGTGCGGGTCCCGCTGTCGCTCCAGGGCACGGCTCGGCTCCTCCCGAGGCCGCAGCTCCCTGCGCCGCTGCCCCAACCCCGGCGGCGTGCCCCGCGCCCGCCGCCCCCGGAGCCCTTCCCCGCACCTGTAGTTGTAGCTGCTGAAGCGCTGGCTCTCCCGCAGCAGGGCGCGGTACAGCCGCAGCACCTGGTCACGGCTGGACGCTGCCATGTTGCCGACACCGAGCCGCTCCTCCCGCGTTGAGGCCCCTTTTCCCCGCCCTCCCGCCGCCCGCGCCGGGCGCAGCCGCGGCGGAGCGGAGCCGCAGGGCCGGCGGTGAGTGGCGGCGCGGAGCGGCGGCGGCCGCGGCTCGGCCGGGCCCGGCCGGGCGGGGCGGGCAAGAGCGGGTCCCCGGCCGGGGAAGGCCCGCGGGCGGCGGGCTCGGGGCGCTCGGGGTCGGTTCCCGGGTCCCGCCGGGTTGGGCCTGCCCGTAGCTCCGGCAGGGATCCCAAGGCGCGACTGCCCGGGAGTGCCTGCCGGGCTCGGCCGTGCGGCTGTGGAGGGCCCGAGGGCGGGGAGGGGAGGCCCGAGCGACGGGGAAAGCGAAAGCAGCGCTCAGATGCTCGGCCAGCGCAGCAGCGCGGTGTGCGCGCCCCGTGCTTGGTGTGCCGCAAGGGGAGGTGGGTGCTGGCTGGGGGAATGGATGTCGGGGCTGGAAAGGAGCAACAAGTGATGTGTGCAGGGGATTGCCTCGGAATCGTTGTATACATTCGCAGTCAGAATTCATGTACTGGAGAGGATCCCCCAGAGGCCACGAAGATAATTTAGAGTCCGGAGCATCTGTCTTCATGAGGACAGACTGCGGGTGCTGGGCCTGTTCAGTCTGGAGAGCAGAGGACTGAGAGGGGATCTCATTAATGCATCTAAGTATATCACAGGTGGATTACAAGAGGCTAGCCTGTCCAGTGATGCCCAGCAAAAGGACGAGGAGCAGTGGCCATAAACTAGAAACCAGAAGTTTCACCTCAATGTGAGAAACAACTTTACATTAAGGAGAGCAGAAAAGTGGAACATGCTGTGCAGGGAGCTTGTGGAGTCCCACTCTCTGGAGACAATGAAAACCCACCTGGATACATTCCTGTGTCACCTGTTAGGAGGGTTGTACTACATGATCTTCAGAGGTGCCTTACAACCCCAACATTCTGTGATTCTCTGAAATCACTATAGACAATTGCAGTCATTGTACGTCTGTGCTAGTGTACCAGGGCCTGTTTTGTTACAGTGTTGTTTGAATTGTTCCTCTCTCAATATCAGTTTCTAAGATGATTTCTGTTATTTAAACCACACGTCTTTCTTTGCTGAAATTTTTGCCACTGCAGAATAAACTTAACTTTGTAACTTGCAGGTATTATGCTGCAGCTGTATTTAATACTGGTTTTTGAAGTTTATCAGCCATTTATTTAGTCATAGAATCATTAAAGTTGGAAGAGACCTTTAGTCTCCAGTGCAGCTGTCCACCCAGCACTGCTACTGTAACCCCTAAACCATCTCACCCAGAGGCACATCCAGGAGTCTCTTGCCCACCTCCAGGGATGGTAACTCCACCATCTCCCTGGGTAACCTATTCCAATTCTTGACCACCCTAACAATGTATTTTCCCCCTTAATATCTAATCTGAATCTCCCCTGTCTCAGTTTAAGGCCCTTTCCTCTGGTCCTCTTACTGCAGTCACATAGAAGAAATTAGTCCCCACTACTAGAACCTCCTTTCAGGTATCATGGCAGGGTTCCTACTTTTTTCACAGCTTGTTATTTATATAGTAGGTGTTTAAAACAACTGCCATGTAGATATTCTACATGTCTCTGGCAAAAGTGCTTCAATTGCCACTTCTAATTTAACTCATGTTTTATTGCATATGCATTTGAGTATTATCATCAGTTGTACATCTGATGCAATTTACAGTTCATTGCAAAGAACTAAAATAGTTCTGTGCTTTTGGATGTAATTAGTATAGACACATGAATTTATTTCAAATTTACCTTCACAGATATGCTGTGTTTTAGCAACCCTTTTAGGCTTTTGGAAATGGAGAGTTTCCGTATGTAGAAAATTTCCTGGATATTTTCTTTATCTCTTTTTTCTAGTTTATCCCAAACTATAAATATTACAGGAAATGTAGAAAAACATATGCAGCTGCAGTACTGGGATAAGCATCATGCTTCTGTGGTCTTCCCTTATAAGTTACAAACCAGTGTGTTTTGGGTTAGGTCTTGGCATTCAGGACACCCACATAGAGAAATACAAAGCAAGCATGCCTTTCATTTGCCAGTGGGACCAACCAGATTCTCCTTGCAGCCCAAGCCATGTTGTTAAAGCAGATTGCCATGCCAGAAGCAGAGCCCATCTGGGCTGCTGGTGCTCCCCATCTTTGCAGCTGTTGGTGGCTGGGCAGCACCAGTCATAATACCTGTTACAGCAGAACTCTGGCTTTGTGTCTACAAAATTACCTTCTCTGAAAGCAGCAGTGGCCACCCTGCCCTTTTTTATGAGGGTGGGCTTCAGACAGCTTAAAACGATATGGGGCTGTCACATAACAGCCAAACTTAGGTTTGAGAGTTAGCAAATTTATGTGATACCATACTGTGGATGAGTGTGGTAGTTGTTCCATCTAATTTTACAACAGCCCTCAGGTATTGTTGCAAATAAAAGTTTTCATGGTACAATCCTCAGCTCTAAAAGATGAGGGTGTAATTGGGATGAAAGCATTCAGCAAATTTTGTTTACAAGAACGGTATTAATTTAATATTTGAAAGGTAATCAGAAATCATTTTTAGATAGCCTCAGATGCTAATCCTGTTCCTGAAACTCCCTGACAGTTTTTGTGAATTTTATTTTTTAATTGTTTTTTTAAGGTAACCATGTTTTTTCTTGAAAAAACCTAGAAACATCCTATGTTTAGAATAAGCAGTAAGACCATACAGTGGATGATCAAATGCAAAGTAAATTTATCAAAGGAGAAAAGTCTTTCCTCTTGTCTCCTTTTTCTAGTTTAACCTTTAATACACTCAAGGAAGGAAGATCAATTTTTGTCAGAAAGGAGTCACCTTTGTGCAGTTGGGTTGGCACTGTTAACTAGAAAAATTAATGACTTTCTTCTGTATTTGTTGTTGTGTTTCCTTGGAAATGATGGGTTATGGTCCGAGAAGTTGTATCATTCTTCAGGAAGTGGACAGTGCTGTGGCTGGGATACTGGTGGTTCTGCTGGCCTTTGTTTATGTGCACCACTGCAAGCCTGCAGGGCATTCAAAGGACAGGCACAGCCCAAATGACCACTGCATGTCCTGTGACACTGGAGCTCTGTATGGGGAAGCAGCAGCAACCACTTCATTAACTGCCTCCTCACTCCTGAGGGGAAAACTACACTCGGATTTAGGGTGGGTGTTCATTTGTACAGAAGTCTTTGCTTTCAGCCTTTGGTCTGGGAAGGAACGTGGTATGTGCCTTGCCTTTCTGCATCTCTTGGGATAAATAAGCGCTTTGAGAGGGTATAATGGTATCAGTACCTGGAATATTTAACTGTGTAGCTTCTAAAAGAGGGGAGGGAGGGAGGAATTATTGGAAGAAGTACCTGCAGGGCCTGCGGACTGGAGTGGAAAAGAAGAGCTGTTCTACTCTCTGGGACATATTCAATGTCTTGTTGTCTGTTGGTGAATTGTTCCCTGTGGTGCATTATTCCAGCTTCATGACATGGCACCGAAAACTTTCAGTGCTTTCCTGGTATGCTGCTGTTGGTTTCCATTATTTTTCTTTGGGGATCAGAACGATAATTGATAGTTATGTGATATTATAATCTCTTCTAGTATTTGTTTTTCAGTTTGTGAAAACATGCTATTTTTTCCATGCAACAGAGGTGTGGTGTTTCTTTTCTTGTCTTAGTTGTTGGTTGGTAGGGTCGTTCACAGTGAGATCCTACACAGTGTAGAGCAGGACCTTTTAAAGAAGGATTATAAATCACAAGAATTTTGGGATTTCAGTGACAAATGTAACAAACTGTTATTTAACATGTAACAAATGTAACAAACATTAACATTTAACAAATGTAACAAACTGTTCTGTATGGTGAATTAAGATTGCCGCAGTATCAACAGGAGGCCTTGACTGACTCTGCTATTTAAATAAATTGTATTTCATTGGTTGCCTGGTAGAAAAGATCATTTTTATTTAAAAGGAGAAGCTTCTGTATTTCAAATTCAGCTATACTTCCAAATTCTTTGTGCATTAAAAAAAATTCTACCTGGAAGTTCAGAGGGAAGAAAATAATGGTGACAAAACTCTTCTCTCAGCTTTTTGTGAGTTAGCCCATCTCTTTCTAAACTGAATTGCAGAATGTTGTGTATTGTTTAAAGTAAGATTGTAAGAACAGTGATAATAGGAAAACCAAAATGCAACCAGTAGTGCATTTCCTGTTGCAATACTTGGTCTTCTAAGGGAACATCTGTTTTTCCACTGTTCCTAAACCTTTCCTGGTTCATGATCTCTTGTGCTGCAAGCATCACACTAAAAGAAACACTGAGTTTTGTTTTCCTTCTTGGCCACAATTTTATTTGTTTTCCTTCTTGGCCACTTTCTAATTTCCTGTGGTGCTTAAGTCCTCCAGAGGACTTCATGGGCATTGTGTTACATGATAGTGCAGCTGGACAGTTCAGCAGTCATAGGATAACTTCTGGATCAACGAAAGGCAGTGTTATACACTGTATGGATTTTGAAAGATGCTCTTAGTGGCCATATGTTGGTAAATTCCTTCGAAATGCTTGAAATAAAAGATACTATAAAAGTCCAGAATTAAAAGGATAATTTTGTGTTATAGGCAAAAGAATAACAAATAGGAGATTAAAATTACTGGTAATGCTTAAATAGCTCAGTGTGTAATAGTTGCATCAACCACAAATGACACTTCTAAACACTTCTAACCTTAATGCTGATGAAGAAATTCTGAAATGCTTTCTTTGCTGTGCTTTCCACTGTTTTATCAAATTTAGCCTTAAATAACTTCTCTTTCTGTGGGAAAATATATTCTACTTTATATTGTATTGCTGTTAAGAAATGTTTTGTGATGCTCATTCTGTGCCGCCTTCTTCCCTGAGTTCATCCCACTTTTTCATTTATGCCCCTTTGGAGTGTAATCCTTCTCCCTCCTCTGTGATTTACACTATCATCATGTTTCTCAGTAGATGTCAGCCAGACAGGCTAAATTATGTAGTTACTTTGATATTTTTTTCTGCCCTCTTTCAGAGGATATTGAAAATTTTAGCTTAGGAAGCAAACTTAGCAGTAAAACAAGGACTGATATTTTGTTTAAGAAAAACTGAGATTCTCTTTGTAGCCGCCCCTGTATATTTTTTGCTGATGTGGGATTTCCAGTGTGGCAGGTTGGTTATGAATGGTATTGCCAATCTTTTGCATTAAAGATCATGATTGCACTTAAGACGCTTTGCTAGAGCAAAGTTCTTTTTTCTTTTGAACTTACTTTTTGTCATGCATAAATGTGTATGTGAGTGTGCAGAAAAAACATGTAAATATGTATTCAGGCATGCACATGGTCATGCTGTGGTGGTGAAGGTCATGCCCTTCATCTCTGATTCTCCATGTTTCAGCCTTGGGGATTGGTGCACAGCTAGCACAGTGCTGTGGGCATTTTTTCTGCTTACCCAGTCCCATGTCTCAAGTATGTGAAATCAAAGACATCCTGCTGCTTGTGTGCATCCCAGTTCTTCTGCTGCCTGGATTGTGGGCATGGCCTTTCTTGTCAGCTAGCTGGGGGCTAACTTCACTCAAGGACTATTGCTTAAGTCCTTCCCTGAAAATCTGCTTCAAGTAGCTGTCTTCTTATAAATAATTCATGTGTGATTATTTGTTGGAAACAATTCCTAGATTAAAGTATCAGCAGTTGTAGAAGTATCACGTTGCTATGAGGTAGTGTGGATCTGACGTAAGAAAACCTGTTATCCAAGGACATATCTTTCTTTTAGTAAGAGGAAAATTAAGCAAAATTGTTGTGTACAGTAGATGGGTAAATCATCAAGGATTGAGTGGATTTTAAGTAGGCAGTCAGTTTAGTTTTCTGACTGTGGGATGAGGGGAAGGGGAATATGATTTTCTACTTGTAACACATTTTCATTTTATATGGTGCTGTGCATCCATGTATGACTTTTTGTTCTAATAGCTTGGGCTTTTGATCCAGGAAAAAAAAAATCAACAGTTTCAATAGGAAGCTGAAGCCGATTGTTTCTAGAGATGAAAGAAGACTATGAGCAATGCTTTAATTGAAATGAAGAAAACAACATAACAACATAGCCATATTAGGGATTGGAATTAATGGTAGAGTTTGAGACTTCTGCATGATCCTTGACATTTTTGATCTTTCATCTTGTGTTACTATTGGTTTTATGTCCTCAGAGCTCTGACAATGAGTGATAGTGCATTAGGGACATGTTCCTGTATATATCATGCTTCTGATGCATTTGTAAGATCGGCTGAATTGTCAATACTTCCTTACATGCCTTCACAGTTCTAGATAGAATAGACAGAACTCTCTTTTTATTTTATTTTATTTTATTTCTGCTTCTGTTTTTTATATCTGGGGTGACTCTGTCAAAATTTTTCTTTCAGCCTGAGAAGGAGCAAAGTACTGACTAAAGCTAACAGGCAAAAGAAGCAGAGCTGAAGAAAAATTATCTCTGTTTGCAGGTAAATAAGTGAAAAAAAAAATAGCTTTCTGAATCTTTGACACCAGCACTGCCAGCCTTTTTAGTTAGTAACAAGTTTTCAGTCCCTCTCCATTTTAATTAATAATTAATTTTAATTTATTTTATATTAATTTATTAATTTTATTATTATTAATTAATTTATAATAATAAATTTTAGTTTATTTAGTCATTAAAAAATCTTTCTTCATCTTCACCAACGGCTAAGGACATGTATGATAGCTATATAAATTTGCTTTCCATGTAGAATTCATGCATTTCTTTATTCCTAATACAAAGAAAATTATGAGATTTGAGACATAAAGATAGGTGTTTAACAATAATAAGAGAGAGACAGAGAAAGAGGGAGAGGTAGAAGATAATCGTCTGAAGAAGAAATTCAGAAGGACAAATTTTATCATCTTTGAATTGGATTATGTCCAGATTCTTGAAAACAATCCCTTTAAAATCTGTCTAACTACCTAGGCAATAAGTTGCTGTTCAGTGTGAGAAGAGGTGGCAAATTAAGTTCTCCTCATTTTACATGCCAGTTATAATTGATATAGGATAGGATAGGATAGGATAGGATAGGATTAGGATAGGATAGGATTAGGATAGGATAGGGATTGGGATTAGGATAGGATAGGATAGGATAGGATAGGATAGGATAGGATAGGATAGGATAGGATAGGATAGGATAGGATAGGATAGGATAGGATAGGATAGGATAGGATAGGATAGGATAGGATAGGATAGGATAGGATAGGATAGGATGCTCTGGTGAATAGAGAATGAACTCAGGGAGCTACAGAGAGGCAATAGTTAGGACTTTACAAACCCCACCATTAACTTTCCAGTCTCTTGCCTGTGTGACCCAGCGTCTTACCTATGTGGCAGCATTAGCGAAAGGCAGTGCGTGTCAGAAGCTCCTGATAAGGTTTGTGTCTTCCCTCCAGCAGGGAGGTTTAGGTGGGGATGCAGACCTATGAAGTGGAACTGCCAAATTTCCAATAGGGATGGGTTTACATTCTGATGAAAGATGGGAAAGAGGAATGGGGGAAGAAATAGTTTGAAATACTGTTCTGGGAACATTAGTGAGAGTTCATCTGTCTGGAGATTTGAATTAAGTATCAATTGTTCTACAGTTTCTGTGATTAACTTTTTCAGGTATTTTTTGTAGCCTAGTATTGGTTTTGACCAAGGTCAGGTTGTGGAGATTTTTGTCGTTGTTGTTGCTGTTGTTTTATTTTGTTTGTCTGTGTATTTGCTTTAACCTGGTGGTACACATGCTTAATTTCCTTTAATTCATGTTTATGCACTTGATTTTAATTATTGTTTAACTTTTTCCTTTTTTGGAAATGATCCTGGTGAAGTAGATGTCTAAAACAGAAAAGACAGATATACAGCAAATTATCAGGTCCTCACACAGATTTAATAGTACTTTTTTTTGTGTGTGTGTACGTAGGATTTCAAAATTGATTTGACTTCCAAGAAAGTTTTCAAGACCTTGACTGAGAGTGTTCTTACTTTTGAGAGAATTTGCATAATTTCTTAAATGCTTTCTTACTTACTTTGACTATGAACACAGCTTTTTTTCAACATCTGTTTTAACTTTGATTTTATTATTCTAATTACTTACAGTGTGAAAATTTCATAGTGCATTACACCAGTTCTTCCCTTGGGGAGGTAGTATTGTAAAATGGACAGATATGGTATTGCACATGTAAAATTATCACATATTGAAGAGGTAATTAAATGTTGGCTCTATATAGGTGTGTTGACCTTAGAATAGCTGCTTGCTTTTTGTGTTGGCATCCTAACTTTGTCAAGTTTTATGAAAGAATGTTGTTCTAAACAGATAGATGTGTCTTGAAAGAGGTTAACTTTTTCTGTTTCCCTTCTGTCCCTCTTTCTCCCTGCACAGATTGTGCTCCTTGTTCCACCCTCCACTTCCACTTGCTGTGTATCTTATTTTTATACTGCCATTGTATTGTTGATCTGATGTGGTAGGTTATATTCTTAATGTAGTATTCATTCTACAAACAGAAACTCTGCTGGATAGACTTGAACTGAGTATGTGGGAACACCATGTTTATTCCAGTTATTTTGTCAGACTTCCTGAGTTGTTATTTAAAGGATTCATTTTTTAATAAATTAAATTTATTAAATTTAAACAATTAAAATTTTAAATAAAACAAATTTAAGAGATATTGCAGATTCTACCAAATCCTGTTTTGTCACCTGATATTAGGAGTTCATTTGACACCAGTGTCCTCTGGGGTCTCAGTCCTGTCCCTGAGTGGCAGACCCTGCTGGGCCTGTGTGGAACACAATCTTTCAGCATGTGGCAAATTGCAGTTCTACAGATGGTTTTAAAGAAAACAAAACAATTATTATGTTTTAATTTTGATTCTCTCAGTATGTAACAGATGTGGCATTAACTGAAGATTGTTTTGTCATATGTGACCTTAAGCTATAATAACATCTTATTCTTCATTAATAATAAAAACTTGATTCTTTCATTTGTTATTTTCTTTACTACCCTGACTTTCATATCATTTTTCACCTAGTCCATGTGTATGTCTTGGCTCAGAATGAAAGATGAGAGGATGTTGCCTTTGGTATCTAAAGACTAGATGGACAAATACTTCTGTGTATAGTCTTAAATACACACACACACACACATACACACACATAGATATGTATACACACACACTTCTGTGGCATAGTCTGAGATGTGGATTCTGAGTTCTGTCTTAAGTTTTCTTTCAGTGAGGCTTGTGGAGGGAAATGTGACTTGCAAATGTCTGGTGTCACAGAAGAGTTCTCTGACATAATTAAAATAAGTGGCTTTCTCAAGGCCTTTCAAACAGAGATTTTCTTTTGTTCTTTGAACTGGGCTTTGTCTAGAGTAAGTAGATCAACATTAGCCAGCCGTACAGGAGATGTTGCCCAGGAGCACCACAGATGTTAAAACATGAAGCTACTTGGGAGCCCATTATCCTAGGGAGCTGTGAGCCATGGGCTCAAGTGTTTCCCATTTTCTAGTATTAATGACAAAGAAAGAAGTTAGCAATACTAGTCTTGTTCGTTTTAGTGTGATACTTAAAAGCCTTTGTTTTTAATCTGGTGGTAGCATGGTAGCAGGACTGCATGGAGACACAATATAAATCTGTGTTTTAAGTTGTGCTTGCCTTGCTTTGCTTGCTACAGAATATTTTGGAACTAGTTCTTCTTTAACAAGTTATTGGAGATGTCAGCACCTCTGAAATGCTTTAAAGGTAGTCATGTTCAGATGTAATCTAATACAGTGTTGTGAGGTAGGTTTGCCTGAATACATATGAATTAATCCTGGCTCTAAACGTTTAACAAAACCATAGTACAGTTGTATCAGGAAATTATAACAGGACTGATAAAATGCATTTTAAAGTTTGACTTACATTTATATGAATAGGCAGAACTTTAAATTGATGGGGCTTATATTTATAATGAATATTTATCATCAGCATTGTTTATAATTCAGTGTCAGTTGTTGCAGTTGAAGTATTTGTAAGGAAAAGACTACTTTTTTTACCCTTAGGCTTTAAACATAATTTATGTATTTATTTAGCTGCAGTTACAGAAAATGTTTCATAACATAAATAGAATTTTGCAAATAATGTTTTCTATCTTTTGGTGACCCATAAACATTCATAACTGTAGAATATGCAAGGTAAAAATTTTAAGCTGGTTGATGGAGGTTAGCTTGGTGTTTAATTCTTGAGTTTCTTCTTGGGTACGCTTGTCCTTAAAGGAGCAAAATAAGTCTTTCATCTTGCAGCTGAGCTGTGTATTGGAAGACTGAGGAGGCAGTACACAGGCCTGACAGTCATGTGGGATTTAGAAGAGGTGCATTATCCATTCACCTGTAGTAAATTTTAGTTCTGGAATCAAGGAAATAATAGCAAAGTAGTTGAAAAATAAATATGTAAACAGAGTAAATAAGTTTGCTAAAAAGACCAGGGTAAAGGAAAGCAAACTGGAAATGTTTAGCAGTGCAATCAGACTTTGTTTTTGTTTTACCTTCTGAAATTCGTTTTGCTGTAAGACCAGCTTTGAGACAGATACTGTGACTGCGTTAGATTTGCTGGCAGAGCTGTCTGTATTGTTTTCAAATTTTGTTGTTCACGAGAGTCCAGCATTTTGTGTAGGTTAAATGGGTTGGAGTGAACTGTGTCATTTAGAAACTGATGTGGTGAGTTGTTTTGGTTTTTTGCCTTTTACAACATGCAAGTCAATACTGCACTCTCTGTAGGCTAGCTCCTTTTCCCTGTACTTTTGTTTTATTTCTTTTTTTCATGCTTTGCTCTTGTTTGCAGCCCATGTGATTTGGAATCAAATGTAAATGATGATACAGAGTTTCTAAACAAATTTTGTTTTCTGTAACATAGCATATATTTGCAACTCTAGCTTAAGGCTTTGGGTTAATAGTTCTTGAGAGATGAAGGGGTCTTCTGCTTCTAGACCACAGCAACAGTAAGGGAACACAACAGCCTAAGACACTAACGCATAAATGGGAGAATAAAAAACATCTGGTGGTTGATTTCTATTTCACTCCATAGAAAAGAGCTTCAGTGATAAGAAATTGTACAAAAACAGTAAAGGTTTTCACATTATGTAAGAAAAAGTGTTTCAGCAAATAGAATTTTCTTCTTAGTAGGTCCCATTTAACATTTCAAAGACAGTGGTCTCTTATTAAGGAGAATGAGCTGGAGAGTATCTCTTTTTCCCTCAAGAGCAGTATTAGCAGGTGGCTAAATTTATAGGACTCAGTTTTCACTCATTGTACCTTAAACTGTAAATCTGTTATCCTGTAACTATGGTGTACTCAGGCAAGGGCTGAGTTTAAGAACCATTTCTTACATGTCTGGACCCAGTAAAAAAGCCTTGCTAACATTGGTTTTAATTGGATGCCTAAAAGTGTCTCTGCAGAAAACTTCCCTGTCAAAGAGAAACAGAAGAAAGATGGTAGGGATTTCAGTCATCATTTTCTGACATCACTCTCTTTACATCTCTTTCATCTCACACAGTGGTTGAGAGAGAAGGGGCAAGCGTACTGGGAGATCTTTTCACATTCTCGTTCAGGATTTTTGGGCTCCATGAGAGATGATTTTGCCTTGCATGGGAATAAAATCGCGCAGCTCTGGCTTCCTGCTCATGAAGTTCCCAGTGGTACAGCAGAGTTGTCCAGGGCTTCTGGGTAGGTACAGTGAAGGAGACCTGAGTTGTGGTAATAAAAGTTGTAGTAGCACCATTCCCTTCCCATTGGTATTAGTGTGTTTCTCCAACATGAAACAGAAAGAACTGATGACTAAAAAAAAAAAAAAAAGCCTTTTCCAACAGGAAATGCTTGAAATCTGTCTTAGAATATAAAAGATATGAGGTGGAAAACTAGGCAGAGCTGCATACATAAATGTTATTGGGACTATGTCAAAACACCATTTTTCATTTAAGCTAGTGTTCCTGTATAGATGGAAAGTGAAGTTTCAGGCATAGACACTATTCTTGTTGAAAACTGACAACTTCAGTTTTTATTTAATTGACTGTTGATTCTTGAACAGGAAAGATTATTTTTTTTTAAATTTAATTTCCTGTGTGATACTCATTGCATTTGAGACATCATGCAGTGGCTATTAAAAGTGATGCATATATTAAATTTCCAAATAAAGATTTTAGAGCATCTCCTGCCCAGCTCTGTTTTAAAGAAATGAGAGCCTTTAGGCTGATTTGAAAGGACATTTGCTGAAACCATGGCTACAAAGCACATGGACAGCACTGGGAGATGAGTTTTGAGATGCTAAAATTAAATTATCATTTTTAATACAAATATTTATTAAAAAAGAGAATGTGAAAAAACATTGTTCATAAGAATTTAAGCAAAGGCTATTCACATAGGTTTCATAAATGTTATGTCCAGTTTACTGAAGTTGTTTGGCAGTAGTGGCATTGCATTTCAAATGTAACTAGAAATAGATATTTGATATGAGCACTGATTCTTTTTTTATTTTTCTTTAAATGACATTAACTTGTCTTTCTGTTAATCTTAGAAAGCCTTATAAATTTAGTGCCCTATTTCCAGCACATTGGACTATCATTTTACATGCTCAGGTATGGCAATATATTGTTGCAGGGGTGAACAGTGGGACACATAAATAAATTTATAATGGATGTGTATTTGTGTGAAAGAGACAGTTGAAATCTTTTAAAGCTATTGATGTAACAGTAATATTAGTAGTCAGTTTTCCTTCCAAACATGGAAGAGCCTCTAATCCACCTTCATGGAAAAGATTACTTAATTTTATGCAATGTAGTCAACTGTCAAATAATTAATTTAAAATTCAGATCTGAGGGGAAATACAAAATCACAAAATCTGTAGACTCATGGAGTCCTCTTCACTTTCACACTGTTGGAGTGCTTCTTGATAAAGAAGAAAGAGGATGGAGTAGCAGCTAGATGTCTGGAACTGATCCACAGTTCATTGAATTAAATTGAAATTTTTTTTTTCATTCACTTTGATCATCCTTGGATTGAACCAGTATGCATATGATTTAATTAGTAGCAATCTCGGGAAATGCTGGGATGTTGGCTTTTCTAGTTCCTTACCTACTGAGATGGAAATTACGTAAACCAATATATTTGTGTGTCTATGATATGGCAAGTGCAGAAGTACTCACAGTTGACGTTCCTAGTGGTGGACCTCCATTTTAAACAGACATTTTATGCTAAACCTATTCTTCTTCCTTTATTTATAATGATAAGCTCATCTTTCATTCATTACACTTAGAACAGATCTATTTCTATGTCTTTGAATATATTTGTATTCTGGAAAAGGGAGCAAATTGTAGGTTTATTCTATGTCTAATTTTGAAATACACTAATTCCTTTCCTCACCCAGATGTTATATTTAACGTTAAGGGTTAAAAATGCAGTTTTGATAGGTTCTCTTTGACTCAGAGCAATGAGGTTCTCTAATAGCAAATGTTTAATTATCTAGTAGAGTATATTTTTATCATGAATCACAATGATGGCATCTCTATTAATGCTGTCATTTAATTTTTAAAAATTATTTAAAACAGTGCAGCTTCATGTTGGGATACCTTTACATTTCTGCAAGTTTGAGAAGCAACCGGAGAAAACTCCTCTGCTAAGGGCAGGTTTGTAGGCAAAGTTGTTGGACAGTCATAGTTCAGAATTCCTAAATTTCTTATCTGAAGCATTTGAAATGTTTTTACCCTGAACCAGATTTCTATCACCTTGTTCCTTCCTGCATTGTTCTTTATTAGGTGAGCTGCCCCAGTGCCTTTCCTGGCACAGTTGGTGAAGTTAAGGTCTGGCTTGGGACAAGAGAGGAGGGGTGGTGGGAGCTGGCTGTGGGTATTGACACTGGACACAGAGATGCCATGTAGGTGTGTCCTGTTTGCGTTCACAGACCCTGATGGGAGTCTGAATGATTTACAGTCTAAATGTTTATGAAATCTTATGGGCTTCTTATGGATTAGTAGCATAAATAGGAATAGTAGATATAAAAATCAAGGGTGAAAGGCTTATAAGCTAACACCACACTTTCTCAATGTAGGAGTTGTGTAACTAGCCATGAATCTGTCACTTGGGTTTGCTTATACTTTGGGTAGTTTGCTCCCAGTTTGTAGTGCAATAAATAAGAATTCTCTAAGGTGTCAGTTACATACCTGTCAATGAAAACTCACCTGAAAAGATTAGGTCTGTGTCAAAAAATATTTAAAGGAGCCTTGATTTATTTTTCTCAAGGGCATTTAAGAGTTACTGAAGCAGCATTAAATATTGTACTATACAGCATTAAATACTTATACTGTATGATGCTGAGGTTTTTTCTCTACTACTTTACAGGAAAATATTCTGCAGCAACTGCAACATAACACATAGCATAGGCAGAACTTTTTGTGGTAGACATTGCCTTCTCAAATAAGCATGGCATATGCTTAGGCCATGCTGATGTGTTATTGTTTATCATCTACAATGATTTTGGAGTGTATCATAAAATTATTTGTATACTTGAGGGAGTGATCCAGACAACAGAAAAGGAATTAAGTAGATAATCTAAGTATTTATTTGTTTTATATGTTTCTAGCTGCTGATTGATGAGCTTATATTGCTACTTCTGCATTTGCAATTGAGAAGGGATGTTGGTAAGCAAATTTTTTTTCTCATTTGCCTTTGTTTCACTAAAAATAAGTAACTCCTTTTAGAAATAAAGCAATATTTTTAAGGTACAAATCTGAGAAACAGGCAAATAAAATGTATACATGGTCTACTTTCTTGGTGTCAGAATTAAAAGTAGAAAAATACTGTTTAATGTATTACTTAATGTATTGTGAAGCAAGATATCCTATCTTGCTTTTATATATTTTGAGAAGCATAGCTAAAAAATCAAGATATTATTGTACAAGTTGGGAAAACTTTTCTTATTCTGTCATAAGCCTTCTGTTTGATGACTGCCACAAGAATTTCTAGGATATAATTGAAAACAGTTGTCTGACCTCTGCTGATTAGGAGTTGGGATTTGGTTTCCTGTGCTTGAATATGTCAGTTCATCAACTTCTCTGGCTCTGAAATAACTTATTGTTTCTGTGTGTTTTTCTGTGTGTATTGTTTCCTCTGTGTTTCTACTGTTTCAAAAAAAAAAACCCAAAACCTGTCGTCTTTGCTGTCATACTTCCAACACTTTTGAAAAAGCAAACCCTTAAAAAGCAGTGACTGTGTCTTCTGCCCAGGATTGCCCATATTGAAATGCACAGTTTGCGTTGCACAGCCCCCCTGTGCACGTATGCTTTGACTCTACAAAGTCTCTCCAGCAATCCCTGCTCATCTATAGTGAAATGCAGTGGCAGCTTGTTTCAGATTTCTGGTTGTTAATCAATCTGTTCACACTTAAATGTGTTGCAGCCCAGTGAAAGCAGGAACTATCCTGGATGAACGATATGGAAGAAGTGAAGTGGATGTATGTAAGTGTAATCTGCCCCCAGAGTGGCAGATTGCTTTAGCAATGACCTTTATCAGTGAGAATAGGCTAAAGTTGTATCATTTTTGAGAACCAGGGTGCTACTTCCACTTAAGCTGTTGCTGGGTGTGATGTTTTGCCGTCACTTTTTGAAGACACTGTTAGGTTGAGTTTAATACTTTTCTTAAAAATTCCAGGTTTTAAGCATAAAGGCCTAAGGAAATTATGTCTCGAAGATGGCATTTGTGCATCTGCTGTCAGCCCTCTTTTTTCCACTTCAGTTAAATTTCACACAGAATATCTGGGTCAGCAGAGACAGCAAGGTGCAGGTGGTGTGTGAGAATAAAGGGCTTTATGAAGGAGATAAACCGTATACACTCCATAGCCAAAGAAGAGGTAGCAGGATGGATTTGTCCCTTACTATTGAATCTGCAAACTAACTTTGCCTCCAAACACAGAGGAAATAAACTTTTGCTAATTCTGCTGCTTGCAAAAGAAAGCTTACTGTAAACCTGAGATTGAATTATGTTCTGTTGGCTGACACATCTTCCAGAAGAGGAAGATAGAATAATGCTGTCTAAAATATTTTAAAAGAACTGAGAATAGATGCTTTAAGAGAAAACATTGCATATGTTGTGTTTTAGACTTTTTGAAGAATAGTGTGTCTACAGGAGAGAGCTTGAGACAAATGATGCTGTTTTTCACAGTCTCTGAGATGATTAGCAAATACTGGAACATAATAGAAGTTATAATCAACTGCAAATGTAAACTGTTAGATTGCTGCAGAGGGAGGAGGCTGCTTAGACAATAAACTTTAAAATAACACAGCTGCTTCTTTAAAGCTGTCAACATGTTGCCATCATCTGGAAAAGTATACAAAATAGCTTGTCATAAACCTATCAACTTTTCTGCATTAGTTAACATCTCCATTGTATAAGTAAGTATGAGATTTCTTTTTCTGTGAGTTGTGAACCTTTATTCTTTCCTAGCTTTTGCACATATAATAGCTGCCTGTTTTCCCTTTTTGAAAACATCAGTTAGGACAACTCTAGGTTTGCTTTTGTGTGTTAGCAAGAAGTTGTTTTGTGTGGATCTTTCTGTATGAAGAACTCATGGTGGGGAGAGCACTAAATCCAAATGAGTAATAATTAGGTTGCCCAGAGAAGTTCTTGAAACTCTTCTGCTGGAGACTTTCAAACCCAGCTAGGGTAGTCCCTGAGTGACCTTCTTATGACAGGGTTTTGAACTAGGCCACCTCCAGTGGTCTCTTTGAACCCAAATTATTATATGATCCTGTAGTTCTGAGAAGTACAGATGTAAAGCTTGTATTAATTTCTAAAGGAGATTGGTCCGGGGGTTATCTTTAAGAGTCACCCCTAAGCTTAGTTCTGGGACCGTCCCTCTCTTACTGTCATTAGACTTTGCTTTCCTTGTGGGAGTTTTGCTCCTCAGTACACTGTATTTGCCATAGAAAATGGGAAGTTAGAAAATGGGAGACAGACCTTCACCGTAACTGATGTTTTAATTCCCTGCAGGACTTGTAACTGGGTTTTAGGCAAGGTTGTGCATGTTGTCTTTGTCATGAGTGTCTTTGAATTCTAGTTGTTAAGAGAATTCTAGTTGTTAAGCCACTGAGTTCTTTGTATCAGGTTCATATTATCCTGGAGCTCATACTTCTTTCTGAGATTACTAAATTGGAATTTCTCAACCAAAAGAGAGGGCTTATGCATTCTGAACAAACTCTTTATTGCATCAGCACAAGCTCTATTTTGTACTGTTCATTTTTTCAGCCCTGCAATTTTGTTAGGGTATTTGAAATTTCATTTTTCTAATCTTCCATTAGTACTGATAAAGCTGCTCCTTTGTGGTATCTGTCACCAGCAGGAGGTGAGCAGTAGTTAATTACCCAGTTTGAGAATTGGGTATCTGCTTTTCCCATTCCAGGGTAAATTACTGCAACTCCAAAATATGGTGGAGAAATGCTCCATACAGTGTCTCACTGTATTTTCTGTATGTGTCAAAGATTTTTTGAGCTGTGGAAATATCCTAATCTATGCTTCAACAATTAGTAGAGTGGGGTATTGGATGCAAATTTGATTGCTTGAGCATTACAGTACATGGACAAATGCTCTATGCAACTTGAAGTGGTTTGACAGAATAGGATATGTTTCTTGCAGTCCACATTCCCCATGTGCACACCTGCAGAAAACACACAAACACACAGCCTCCCCACCCCACCATTGCAGCCAAACCATCTGCCTTTTGGAGTTCCTGTCTCAGGTGTGCATGGTCAAGCCAGAATCTGCACTTAGGTAACCTTATTCTGTACTTGAAAGTATTAGAAGTACTTTGATTTTAAAAATAATGCTCGTGATTTCATATAGAATTGTTTTCCATTCCTTGAAACATGAGGTTCTGTATAAAAATTAAAATAAAAAGCTAGTAGAGTTTTTTTGAGGCAAAGCGTATATAGGTAATATATTTACATTGTGAAATTATGTCTTACTATACATCACTCTTAAAATGTGGTATCACTAGAACCAAAGATATGCACTTGTCAAACTGTACCCGTTCAGAACATCAGTGATGATAATATATAAAGATGTCATCATCCGACGTGAATACAGAATTTTTAGCAAACTGTGGTTATACTTCCTGCTGATGGTTGCTATTAGAGGTTCCCTTCTGATGACACATCTAGCACCTTCTGATATTTACAATCTGTGATTTGCACTTGGAACTCAGCTTTTACCCTCACAGCAAGACAGAGCATAAACAAAGCAAGATGTGAAGCAGCATTTCTGTAGCAAGTTTTCTGTGGTAATTCTTGAGAGTTCTCTGGTGATCTGAAAATAAATTCCTAGATACAAGTATACCGCAGCTTGGAGGATGAATGTGCACCAGGCACTGAAGACTGCTGTGTAACGCTAGTAGCCTTGCCTTACAGGCATCATAATCCCTTCTTATATAAGATAATAAATAAACACAAGTACTTTTAAAAAGCTGATTCTTGAATATTCAGGGCTAAAGGGTCTTGGCTGACCAAGGGTCTGCTGCTTCTTGCAACAAGAGAGCTCTCTGGCATTGCTTAGTAGTAACAGAATATCTTACAAGTGGCATGAAAAATTTGAAAACCTCCTTTTAGTGCCTTCTCTAGGTGCTACAGAAAAAGATAGTTTTGGGCTCTCTTTATGACTTCACTTTCTTTTTACTAGTTGGAAGAAAAAAAATTCTCTGTTTATTTTGTCAATGAAATGCCGAGTGCTCCAAGATGAGATTACCTTAACAGAGAACTGCACAACCTTTACTGCAACAAGCAGCTTTACCCAGATGACTTATTTGCTTGAAAATAATTAAGGATGTTTAGGTTACTGAAAACCCTCATCTACTGTGCATCAAGAGCATCTGGTTTGGTTTGTGCATTTGTTTGCTTTGCTTACAGAAGTTCCTTGATTTTTCAAGCCAGCCAGGAAAACCAGCAGAATTATTTAAGCAAAACTCCCCCTAGCATACTACAATAAGGCCAAATAATTAGATTCACACCCTTAGAGTAGATACACAGCTCAAAAGCAAAACCAAACACCCTTGATTCAGATGACACAAGTTGATTTCTGGTATATTATGGCAGAGAATAGTCTGTTTCACCTGTCTGATAGCAGGCTGGTTGGATTTTGCCAGCATTTGGTCTGATGTCCTGGAAAAACTCTGGTGTTCCTGACTTAGAGTAGGAATTTAAGTAACCTGGTGCCAGCATCAGCAAAGATTTCATGCATTTAATTTGTTCTTCCAGTGTAGCTAAAATAATTCCACTTCATAGGTCCACTTCCTTAGGAAGGAATTTTTTTAATCAGGTAGATATCATACTTTTAAAGCCATTTTTTTCCCAACTCCCTGTATTTGTTAGTAGAAAGAACCCAAGATGAATTTATTAAAAAGATTTGATGGTACATGACAAAATTGAGAGTTTGTACTTATTGTGTTGGTCATTACCTATTGATTGCTCTGTTTATATGAAATTAAGACCATTTTATAACTACTGGCCCTTTAGGTTCTGATTCAGGTAGTTAATTTTGAATGGATCCATCTTCTGCTTGTACTTCTATAAACTACAGTTTCCAGAAGTGTCATTTTTATGGGTGGGCAAGTTAGCAAGTTGTATTTTCAGTGATCATTACTTAGTCTGGTAAC